CTTCGAAGCCCCACCTCTGCCGTGATTAGCCTTGGATGGCTTTGGATGTGCTGGTGGCAGAACGGGCGTGGTGATGCGTGCTGACCTGCAGAGAGGCTCTGTCCCCAGGTCTTCATGACCCTGTCCTTCTACCACCTCTGCCCCGACCTCCCTCTGGTGGCCATGATTGGCCGCTAGAGCTCTTCGATCGGCCGTGTTGGTTGAGTTTGCTGGCTGAACCATTTTTGTTCACACTTTTAAATCGGGATGACTTAGATCGTTCTCTTCCCACAGACGGCGCCAAATGTTTATGCAAAGATCTGCACAACGATATTTCTTTGACCAAGCTCGAACCTGGTCACCGATCTTGACCTGAACACTAGAGTGGACCTGCACAAGTGGGTAAACACTCCGACGCTCAAGTCAGTATAGGTCGGACTCCGTATTTTGTTCGACGTGAGATTCGATACTTGAGCGTGAAAGGAGGCCCTCTATTTATAGGTGGTTGATCCGACAGTACTTGCGACCGGCGGTTATTATGTTTTTTTTTATGTCGAACCTGTCGGGTTCCAACCAGATCGAGCCCCAGCTAGGTCGAACCTTGGCATCTATACTTAGCCTTTTTCAATGGACGAACCCGGTCTCCTCGACAGGGCCGATGTGGACCTGGGTAATTCCTTTTATTTAATTCTTCAAACACCAATAAGTGTCCTCACGTGTCCTAGATATTTTTACCCCCAAACAATATTTTTTTTGTTTTTGTTGCATAACGTTATGATACTTACTCGCCTTAGGTAAACAGTAGTTCCAACTCTCACTTTCTTTTTCCTCGATAGCTCTTTTCGCAGTAGCATGGGCACAAAAATTGGCGTTCCTACTAATTTTTATAAAATTTAATTACTAGCAAAATTAAACTTTAATTCTAATTTACCAAAAATTAGAATTCAAAATTAGAAAATCCAACGATTTAAATTATCAGCTTAGGGAAGAATTTAAAGGCTCGATTTAAATCTTAAAATAAAATAGCCCCGAAGACGTTTTTAACAATAAAATATTTAACTTTCAAATTAGAAAAAATATTATTATAACAATAAAAATATTTAACTTAAAAGTTGAGAGACTTGACTTAAAACTTCCCAAATATTTCAAACAACTTAAATTGATATTATATTATTAAATTAAATTTGAGGTCACCCAACTCATTTGAAAATACATTATTAAATTAAATCTACTAAACTATATTGTAATTAAAAAATTATTACTTTGGTGGAATTCACAACTTATTTGAAAGATAAATTAGTAAATAAGTTTTGTTATATTATACTTAACAAAAGAAAAAAAGTTAATTTTGTCAGACTTTTAAAAGATGACTTTAGAAAAAAGTTTAAAAATAAATAAAAATAATAAAATAAGATATAACAATTCATCATTCAAATTTTGTATAAAAAATTTCCTAATTCTTCTTAAAATCTCTTGCACCTTCACAAAAAAGTCCACGTGGATAAAAAATTAGTGGTTTTAGAAGAGTATCCAGGTTTATTAAAATAATATTGGAAAAGATTATCATATCTCCCAACTTTTTAAAAAGGTTGGGATAAGTTATCTCTTCCCACATTTTCTAAAATCACGTTGGTAAAGATAGAATATTGAGTGTTTAAATCATTTTAAAAGATTAAAAAAATGTTTTAAAGGATTATCCCAATATTTTTTAAAACACTAGCATAAATTATCCTCTCCCAACCTTTTCTAACAAACGTTGGTATTCGATAATCTCCCCCACGTTTTCTAACCAGCATCGGTATTAGAAAACTCTCCCAAAATTTTATAATAACATTGGGAAAAGATGGGATGAAAAGATGGGATTTAGGAATTTAAAAGATTTCTCCCAACATTTTCTAAGAAAATTTGGATAAATTATCTTTTCCCAATGTTTTTTAAAAAATGTTGCGATACATTGTGTTATCCCAGTGTTTTTACAAAAACCTTGGGAGAAATATTTAAAAACTTTGATAGATGTGGTAGCCATTTTCAAGGTTTAATTTTTTTAAATATTACTATTTTCCAAACTAATTTTTCAAATATTATAACTTTCAAATTTATTTTAAAATAATACCACCAACATTTTTTTTAAACATTGGTATTCATTATGTTATCCCAACATTTTTACAAAAGCATTGGGGTAAGGTTACTTCTCTCAACGTTTTTAATAAAACATTGGGATACATTGTGTCATCCCGACGTTTTTACAAAATGTTGGGATAAATCTTTTAAAACGTGGATGAATGGGGCAGCCATTTTTAAGGTTTTATTTTTTAAAATATTACTATTTTCAAAACTAATTTTTAAAATATTATAACTTTGAAATTTATTTTAAAATAATACTCGCAACATTTTTATAAAACATTGGGATACATTATGTTATCCCGACGTTTTTAAAAACACTGGAATAAAGTTACTTCTGTCAACGTTTTTAATAAAAGGTGGGGATACATCAACATATCCCAACAATTTAAAAATAATGTTGGAAAAGATGATCATATCTCCCAACTTTTTATAAAACATTGGGATAAATTATCATCTTCCCACATTTTTTAAAATCAGGTTGGGAAAATATAGAATATTGGAGATTTAAATCGTTGTAAAAGATTATCAAAAAAAAAATTTTAAAAGATTATCCCAACGTTTTTCTAAAACACTCGAATAAATTATCCCCTCCTCACATTTTCTAACAAAAGTTGATATGCGAGAATCTCTCCCAACTTTTCTAACGAACATCGGTATCCGAGAACCTCTCCCAACATTTTATTATAACGTTTGGAAAAGATGAGATTTCTCCCAACGTTTTCTAAAAAAGTTGGGTTAAGTTATCTACCCCAACGTTCTTAAACTAGTGTTTGCAAAAGATTGCTTTGCCCCCACATTTTCTCAAAAACGTTGGGATAAATTATCTTTTCCCAATATTTTTTTAAAATGTCGAGAAAAGTACACTTCGGGCAATATTAGTATGTTTTAATTTATTGAGCCATTATCGTGACGTTTTCTCTATGACATCGGGAAAAATCAACTTTTTCTCGACATATTTCGAAAAACGTCGGAATATTTATTGTATAACTTTGGTGTATTTGAATTTATCCACCCATATTTCCAATTTAATTAAGTTAAATTTGATTTAATTTAATTAAATAACAATAATTAATTAATGAAATTAACTTTAATTAAATATCACATATTTAATTAATATTTTATATGAATCATATTAAAATGTATATCTCTCTCATAACCTATAGTTTTAATGTGAAGCTCATACACATTAATTTTAACCTATAGTTTTAACATGAATCTAATTCATATTAATCATTGTTTGAATCTTATTCAAATAATACTCTCATGTTATAAAGTTTAATTTTGAATCTGGTTAGGGTTGACTTTTTACTGTAGAAACATGTGTCAGTAGCCTGTTTGACCACGTTTTTGATCCCTTTCTCATCATTATTTGCCAAAAAGGACTACATATTCTTAAAGTAGAACATGCATAAATTATTTCTGCATAAAAGTCAAACTATGGTACTTTAGGAAAAATATGAGAAAAATGCGGTCAAAGTTGAAAGAAAAGAACAGAAATCTATTTTTGCAGAATTGCGCCTGGCGCATTTTTGGAGGACAAAATGTCAAAACGCACGTTTTGATTAATGAAGGGCACAGAGGACAACCACAAGTTTAAAACTGTGAGTCGAAGTCCAAGTAAGGTAGTTAGGTGAATCTCAACCCATTTCCACCTAAAATAAAGGGGAGTTTCAACCAACCTATGGTGCTATAAAAGGAAGCCATCTCTTCATCACCAAATCATCGCTTCCAAGCTTCATTCCATATTCTTTTAGTTGCTCCTTAGTTGTAGAACACGTTTTTAGGGTTTATGTTTATGTTCTAGTTGTTCATTTCTTTGTTTTTCACGCTTTTATCTTTTGTATTGCTTTTAATTCAAGTTATTACTTTCGTTGTTTGTTCATTCTGTTCTTTTAAAGTGTTTTGGCGAGTTTCAACTCCCCTCACGCTCGAGAGAGAAGAGAGTCAAGCTAGAACTCATTCTACGGCTTATTTATTCATTTCAATTCAATGAAAAATATTTTCTTTATGTTTCGTGCATTTACTTTCCTTTAAGTATGTTCTAAATTGGTTATCAACCTCTTTGTGGAATGCATTAGTAAAAAAATGATTTGATTTTCAACACGCTCGGGATTTGCCCAGAATTGCATCGACACTTTTTTGGGTTGGTTTCTAAAAACTTTTCGTTACATCTTTTTTCCATTTGGCCAGTAGGAACTTGATTTATACACCAAAGCCCAACCTTGGGAAAAGTGAGTGAGGTAATATAATAGGAAACCAATATGAGATGTGACTTAGGCATAAACGTATAAAATATGGTCTTAGATATAGGCCCTCTGACCCATAATGCAAGTGAGTTGGTAGATATTCTCTATGATTGTCATCACACATAAGCATATGATTGTAGGTTACCCTAGTCTCTGCAGCAACCAAGAGAGGTAGTGGAAGAGTAGAACTCAGTTTCTCAAGAAAAGCCAGAATTGCACTTGGTGCATTTTCCCAACAAAGTGTTTTTTCCATGTTTTGCATCAAAACTAAGGTAAGAAGCGAAGAGGTTGAGTTTTATTAAATTGCTTGATAGTTAAAACCCCAAACAACAACATTTCACCATTATTTTCTTCATAAACCACAATTGCATATTTGAACTATTCACTTCTTTAAAATTTTTTTGAAAAGCAACAAGTTCCTGAGGATTCGACCTTGGATTACTACCAGGTATTACTTGTGACCGTGTGCGCTTGTATGAGTCTATAATATTTCTGAAGATAGAGAAAGTCCCAACAAATTTTTGGCGCCATTGCTAGGGAATTTATTTTTCAAAACCATATTGTTTTCAAGTGAGTTGTTTCATGTGTGATTGTTGCATACCTCTGTCATTGGACTCAATTGTTATACCTAACCTTTAAGGGAATTGTGTATGAGCACAGGGTCTGGTTGGTTGACCTTTGATCCAGAGATTGAAAGAACCCTTAAGAGGATAAGGCGTGAGCTTTGGTTGAGAAAAGAGAAAGAAACTCAAAAAGAGGAAGAAGTTGAAGAAGTTGAAGAAGAAGAGACCATCGAGATGAATTGGAATCCACAAGATCTTCCACCTCCACAAAATCCACCTGTGAACGGAGATATGGCAGGTGAAGGAGCAA